AGAGGGTGTAAAGTCCGACCATGCAACCTCCACGCGGTACATTCTGAATAATATCAATGCTGGCGGCACCGTAAATTCTAAAGCTCATAACTCAGACAATTCTCAACAAAAATAGGTCATCAAGTAGTATTTCGGAAACGTCTCGCTGTCATCTTTAACACTGTGTGATAAAAAATGGAATATTCCATTTAAAAAAATCATGGCATTGACCTCGCCTTGACTCCTCCACTCAAGGTCAACCGGATATGATCATTCAATAGAACTTTTAAAACCTTACAACTTTAGTTGGAAATCTTTTTCTTAAAAATGTTTCGTTTTCGAGATATTTGACCGTTTCCAAACTTTTCTAACTAAAGTGACATGGTCCATTATCGATGATTTTATTAAAAAATTTTTCGAACGAAAGTTGCATGGCTTGAAGGACGACACACAATGGAAATGTGGACTTGACCTTGAGTGAAGTGACCTTGTCAAAATCAGGCCAAGGTCATTAATGTTTTTTTAAATAGAAACTACGATTTTTTATTACATATTCTTGTAGCTTATCTCGAGAGCATTCCAAAACACTCTAACAAAGTTACATTTCATCGAGTACTTTCCGAGTTATGAGGCTTGGAACTTAAGGCAAGACCGATCACTGATCCGACCAATTAAGGCAAGATCAATTCGAATATGTCTTTAGCCGTTAATAAGTCTTGGCCTTAGAAGTACGAAATAAAACCTCCTTGCTTTTGTTACAATATCCTGTAAGTTAACAAATATTCTTCACACATACAAACATAGTATTATTATATTTTTATTGAGTAGTGCATTGAACAACTATAAAATTGTTCTGAGAGTTTTCTCATTTAGAGCGACGAAACAAATATATTTTATGAATTTTTTTTGCGCAGATAGAAAATTTCACGGATGTAATTGTTTTTGGAGATTATGTAATACTGTATGAAAAATATTTATTAACTTATAGGATATTGTAATAAAAGCAAAGAGGTTTCATTTCGTACTTCTTGATTCTGTACAATATTCTTTTATATTTCATACTACATCCTTGTATAACTTAAAATTATTCTTAAAATATTATTAAACAATCCAATAATCAAACCTGTGAACCTGCCCGACTCCGCAAAATAATTAATAAAATATATTTCATTTTCTTGGCGCCGAATATTATTAATACTATTACAAATAATATTACGAATGATATAAATTTTTACAAATAAAATTTGTAAAAATTTGTATTATTTGTAACATTATTATACAATTACAAATAAAATTACAAATAATATTAGGTGCGCAACTAAGTTCTCGCTGTTTTTTTGATGAAAATGCAACTTTATTGTGAAAAAATGGTTACAAATGAATCATTCAAAATATTGCCCATCGCTAGCGACAACTTTTTCCTATCTTTCTGGCAGAGCTCGAATACCGTCACGGTAGAAGTGTTCGTCTTTTGAGGCTATCCACGAATCAAGCCATTTTGAGATGTCTTCATATGAGCGGAACTGCTGATTAGCCAGACCATGTGACATCGAACGGAACAAGTAATAATCGGACGGCGCAATATCTGGGGAATATGGCGGGTGTGGTAGGACTTCCCATTTGAGCGTTTCTAAGTAGGTTTTAACGGGTTTGGCAACGTGAGGCCGAGCGTTGTCATGCTGTAGAATCACTTTTTCGTGCCTCTGCTCGTATTGTGGCCGCTTTTCGCGCAGTGCTCGGCTCAATCGCATCAATTGAGTTCGATACCGTCCCCCAGTGATGGTGTCGTTCGGTTTCAACAGCTCATAATAAATAACACCGCCCTGGTACCACAAATACACAGCAAAACCTTCGCAGCGTGAATATTCGGCCGAGCCGACGACGTAGAAGCATGACCGGACAGTCCCCATGATTTTGTTCTCTTTGGGTTGCTGTAATGAATCCATTTTTCATCACCCATAACGATGCGATGAAGAAAACCCTTCCTTTTTTGCCGCTGGAGCAGTTGTTCACAGGCGAAAAAACGACGCTCAACGTCTCTTGGCTTCAAATCATAAGGAACCCAAGTTCTTTGTTTTTGAATCATTCCCAACGCATGCAATCGCTTGGAAATGGCTTGGCGGGTAACTCCTAATGCAGAAGCAAGCTCTTTTTGCGTTTGGCACGGATCCTCGAGCAATGCCTCCAATTCAGTGTCTTCGAAGGTTTTTGGCCTTCCTTCACGCGAACGGTCGTCAACATCGAAATCACCGTCTTTGAAGCGACGGAACCAATCACGGCACGTTGTTTCACTTAGAGCAGCATCTCCGTAAACTTTTTGGAGTTCTCGATGCGCTTCAGCCGCCGTTTTCTTCGAATGAAAGAAGAAAAGCAACACTTCCCGCAAATGACGATTATTTGGCACAAAATCAGACATTTTCACACAACCAAAAGTATATGATGCAAAAACAAAATCACTAATGTGTCAAAGCGGTTTGTTTACCATATGTCTAAGCTTGGTTCATGACGTTTTGGTTATGTCATAATCGAGCAGCACTTACTACTGGAGCCATCTCTTGAAAAACAGCGGGAACTTAGTTGCGCACCTAATAATATTACAAATAATATATGTTACAAATAATATTATTAATAATAAAATATTATTTGTAATAATTTCGGTGCGCCGAGTAGACAAAACTTTTCAATATTGTCATAGAGAGGAAAGGAGAGAGAGAGACAGTCGCGCCCGCGATTCAGATTATGGGTAAGAAAGAATTCGGCTCGCTCGCTGAGCGAGAACGAGAGCGACAAGGAGGGAATGATATTCTCTGTCTCTCGCTCGCTCGGCGCGTCGACGATTGCCGACGCGTGGCTCACACGGATTGACCGAGCTGGCTGTGTGCGTATATGGGGGGGGGGGAGAGAGGAAAATCCTCGTGCAAGCCCGTCACCAAATTCGCATGACTGATACCAATGATATCAAAACCGAACAAACTGTGGACAAGCGTAACTTGTAAATACCGGAGATTAATTGTTTATCAGCTCATAGACAATTAATATGACGAGATACCCGCGGAGACCCGTGTACTTCTTTTTCGTTTTTGCGTACAATTGCGATCAATAAAAAATTTTCACGAATTGTTCAGTTTTGACATCATTGGTATACGTGCATATGTGTGTGATATGTGTACACGTATACGTACAATTGCGATATACACTTATCATGTTAGCATTGATCATTTTTATTCATGCTAAAAGAAATAAGTATGATTATGTAAAGAATTTGTCTGCGTATTATTATACATTCTACATAGTTCTCCCTGTGATAGTAAAAATAATACACTTGAACAACCTCTACGCTCATATCACAAAGCCTGATCCACTGCGCTACTGAAGCAAATTGGTAATTCTTCTGCTATAACGACATTTGTAACGCTCCGCCCTCCCGCCGCTTGTCTCCCCGCGCTCCATCCTCGCGAGGTTGACGCGTCGCGGGTCGGAGGTCTCGGTCCGGTTCGTAGTGATCGGCCTTTCGCTGTCGGCCGTGCTCGCTCGCCGCGGACTGACGGACGGATGTTCGCTGCGGGATGGTTGGGTAGGATTAATTTATTGCACGCTTAAATTTCACTCTTTTTGACGAGTGGCGGGCTGCTGGCCTCTCATTCGGCCCCACCGCCGATTTATTCGGGATCTTTGTTTTCTTGTACACTCGTTATTCGCTATACATGTGTCCGCGTAAGAAACGGCTATCTGTTACTGTTCGCGATATTCGCACCGGGAAGTGTTTACAAATTTCCGTGCTACGATTTTTCGACCGACAATGTGCTCGAGATCTGTCAACGGTTGACGAGGATCGGCCGCTCTTCGCCGGCGGGAACAATAGATGCACGCGGTTCCTGGTAACCCGAAATGATGAAGAAAAACAAACGCGACAATTTATGTGCACCGCATCTACCTGCTCTCGTTAGGAAATAATTATCAATAAGATATTACCGATGGGCCAGTCACACTCTTCACCGGCTGTGCGTCGCACAAATTTACATTCGCGTTTGCTCGATAACGACTCGCGTCCCGTGAATTTGACAATATCAGGTAGACTTTCTATGTTGTAACGGCTCGTGTTAACCTCGGAATTGCTCGAATTATAATATCCGGAATAATACTCGGTCGCTTTGATTGTTTAGAAACAAACTCGCCGGTGAGAACTCTTCAATACGTTCGGAGAGCCGTCGGTAAACAATAATATCCTTCCGGTACACCGGAGTTTCTTGACGTATATGAGTTGTGATATTCGCTCGGACGGACAAGCGTTTAGAATTTCGCCAGACGGCGACAAGTTGCGGCCGTTCTCTCAAAAAAAAAAAAAATAGAAAAGAACTTATTCTAAGTCGGCGCGGCGGCTAATTGCTGCCTAACGTCGACGGACGAGCACGTATAAATCGCGGAACAGTGGCTAACTGCTGCCGTTCTCTCGGAAACAGAAAACTTATGCTAAGTCGGCGCGGCGGCTAACTGCTGCCTAACGTCGACGGACGAGCACGTATAAATCGCGAGACAGTGGCTAACTGCTGCCGTTCTCTCGGAAACAGAAAACTTATGCTAAGTCGGCGCGGCGGCTAATTGCTGCTTAACGTCGACGGACGAGCACGTATAAACCGCGGAACGGTGGCTAACTGCTGCCGTTCTCTCGGAAACAGAAAACTTATGCTAAGTCGGCGCGGCGGCTAATTGCTGCCTAACGTCGACGGACGAGCACGTATAAACCGCGGAACGGTGGCTAACTGCTGCCGTTCTCTCGGAAACAGAAAACTTATGCTAAGTCGGCGCGGCGGCTAATTGCTGCCTAACGCCGACGGACGAACACTTATAAATCGCGGAACGTTGGCTAACTGCTGCCGTTCTCTCGGAAACAGAAAACTTATTCTAAGTCAGATCCGAGTGGATCGGATCGGCAGAACGCTAAGCGTCCGCTTCGCGCGTGCCGCCGGGTCTTGCAATATTCCCCCGGTGATGCGGTACGGTATTTGGAGAAAATTACTCACCGGCGTTGCCGTGCTTCCCGGACTCTCTGTTCGCTTACTGATCTGGTCCTCAGTCTTCTCGTCGGATGCCTCTTTTCATCAGGGAGCTCTGCTCGGAAGACTGTCTCGCTCGAGACGACGACTCTCTCGATCTCGGCGAGAGAACGAGTTATATACCATTAAAATCGAGAGTCGAGCACGGAAGGGGTTTGAATTTCCACGGAATTTGCGCATGTGGATTTTGGGATTACCCCTTTTCGTGACTTAATCCCGATTTTTCCCGAGCGGGCGAGCGATCACTCGTCTTCTTTCGGCGCTCGGGCTTCGTTGCTGCGGCACTGATGGGCGGTGCGGTGCGGGGATGGTAGCGGCGATGTTCGATCGCGCGGCGACCGATCGTCGTCGCTGCGCGATTCGTAACGGGGACAAGGATCTTTGTCCCACGTTACACATTAACAGAAAAGACTAAACTTCAAACTACATTTCTCAAAAACGTTTAAGATTTGCACCGTTTTTGGATAGCATTTGCTACTATTACATTAATATTATACTTTTCTAAAAGAAAAATCGCACGGTGATTTCAAGGATGAAGATTCCTCTTGTGTGAGATATTAATTATTCATTCTTTATTAATGGGAAAATATTTTCCTTTGGTTTAAATGTTTAAGAAAAGTTCTTTGTCCTCTGAGAATCTTTCAAGAATCTTTTTTTATGTTCGTGAAAAGTTTATAAAATTCGTAAAGAAAAAAAATTATTTTACTACCTACCTGTTCAAGAGTTGCGCATAAGAGATATTTTAACAAATCTAAATCTGAATCAGTCAACAAATTAAATTTTTCATTCAAAGCATATGTAGGATAAGCATAAGTAAGATAAGTATAAATAATAAATTAAATATTATTCTCTGAATATAATAATAAATAAATGTTTTTTTCTTTAGCTGAATCATCGAAGTAAATATTCTATTATAAATTGACTTTTCGAATTACAATATTAATTTGATTTTTCAGAGTACGCTTTCAAATTGACTCTTCGGAATATGCTATTAAATTGTCTTTTCGGAGTCACTTTTGAATTGACTCTTCTGACTACACATTTTTTAGTTGACTCTGTGGAGTACATATTTTTTAATTAACTCTTCGGACAGAAGAGAAGAGAAACATTTTATATTTTATTTAAAAAGTCGTAATTTTTGCAGAAAACTGATTGGTGAAAAAAAAATTAATTCACGACCTCAACGAAGATCTTAAAAAAATTACTGCAAGAAATGAAGTTGTTATTATTATATATCATATTGTACAATGTTAAAACATACGCGCAATAATTATCTATAATTTGCATATATGGGCGTTTATGTAATTATAAGTAATATAAAAGTCATGACAAATTAATGTGGCCGCGCGTTATCTCTGTCGCGTCATTGCTAGAAATCATCCGAACTCTCGAAATTATTTTCTTCCCGAATCATGAATATAAAACAATGTGGAAAGGAAAACAAGGGGGTGAAAGGGAGGACGGCGACGTCTGCCTTACGATAACATCGCTGCTGCCTCGCTTCGTCGCGATTGGCTATTCGCTGGTGGTGAGGCAAAGACCGATTCTTCGTTTTTATCTAACTAATCTAGCTCGCTCGTGAACATAGCACAGAACAGAACCAAATAATTATGGACATAGCACGGGATAGTACCAACAAATCGTGGACATTGGCTTAGTAGTTCATGTCCATGAAAAATGGACCCAGTTGGCGCTTCGAATCAGCCAACTTTTCCATAACGCTGTAAATGCAGCCATGTCCGCTCTCAGGCTTCTCTCTGTTATAACTTTGGCGTAAATTAGGCTGTGTAAACGTAGTCATAGAAAGGCGTAAGCAAGGAAAAGAAAATAGATAAGACAGGAAAGTTAATGCTTATAATAATTCGTACTACCTAATAGCTTTTCTATGTCAGATCGGGAATCTTCGGTTATGGAGGATTGTGTTATATTATCTTTAATGTTTTAGCTAAAAACGTTCGGCAACGGATAAAATAGTATAGTGATTTTTATGAAATTATTAAATATTATTTGGCTGTTTTGATATTTTTTTCCATTATGGATTAAATGAATGTGTACTGACAGCTAATATAACCTCATTTAATAATATACATAAGATTTTTTGTCATTTTTATCCTGTAAGTATACATTTTATTTATATATCTTATGAATGTTTTACGAAATATTTTGTATTTTTATCAAAATTTTGTAAATTTGGAGCTTTATAACTCGAAAAGTACTTCACTAAAAAACATTTGATTATAGTGTTTTGGGAAGCTCTCGAGGTCAGCTACAAGAATATGTAATAAAAAATTGGGGTGTCATCTAAAAAAATTGAGGTAACCTTCACGTGACCTTCAAATGACTCGTCAAGGTCAAATCAATGGTACCATCTTATGGCCCCCTTGAACCCATACAAAACGTGTCTGAACCATTTTTCTCTAAAATCAAAAATAAGAGATATTTGGGGTGGACACTTAAAATGGGACACCCTGTATATATGATAATTCATACCTATCTTCTTATTTATATTCTCAAATCTTCATTTTATTCATAAATGTTTCTACTTATTTCTCATAAATTATTACTTCATATTTCTAATAAAATGTACAATATAATTCTTATAGGTTTCTTCACCTTGAAATTTAGTATAAGGAATTACCGATCAAATACGACGCAACAATGTCAAGAATATAAATAGGTTTTTTTCAAAAATAAATATTTATACTTGTGACGATATTATATTTCTATATACAAACATTGACAATGATTCAAATAAAAATAAAAAATTCGTTATAATTTTTATATATTACAGTGTCTTTAATATTACAATTAATACAATTTACTCATAGTTTAGGCTCGTTTTTAATTTTCGATCATACGTTTAAGAACTTTATACACTATTTTGTGTTGTATACTATCCCATGCATTCAGAACATGCTTATAACTATGTTAGTGCGCTGTTAACTAATCAGAAGACATATTGCGTGGCTTTTCATTGGTTAACAGCGCGCTGACATGGTTACAAGCATGTTCTGAATATGGGCCTATAACTTTTAATAGAGAAATTGTGTCTTACAATATCTTAAGAAACATAAGCGCCACGATATGTACATTGTAGCATATATCGCAAACTAAATAATCATCGCAATTTGGATTATTATTACACAAACATACTTGATCGATCTTAAACTATTTAAGAAAGATCCTTTATAGATAGAACGAGTTAGTACACGAGAGCATATGATTAATTAAAAAAATTTATTATTGTATCTCTTATTTATCATTCTTTCAATGATTGACTGATATAATTATATTGAAGTATATGAAAATCAATAAATATATTTTTCAAAATATATAGTATTAAGGAATTTGAAACGGTCGACAAAGTTCACATATTGAACATCTTGTAGCTTTGGTCCGTACTTAGCTTAACTAAGCATTAAAAAGTCATTTAAAGTGCAGACTTACATTAATACTTAAAATAGATATAAATAAGTGATACAAATAATAATAGGATTGCTCTAATGATTTTCGTTGTGTATCTCTATATATAATACTTATAACAAAAATGCACAATTGACAGAATTGCAGATAGGATGATTGTGACAAAAAGCATCAAAATGTCTTAAAAAATACTATTGAAACGGAAGTAAGATTTAATACGTTTTAATTTTGTGAGATTAAAGATAGGTATATTAGTTAGCATTCTGGATTACAAGATTAAAACGTATTCAAAGCTTTATTAAACTTTTATTATATTTGTAGGAAGAGAGATAGAGATTAGCACCTGATTAAAATATCTGGATCAAATTTCTGCTTTGAAATAGTTTCTATATAATAGCAACTCGTCTAGCATGCTTTTTGTTAGTGGACTTTTGGCCTTGAATTCGATTTATTAATATAATTTGCAGTACTGTTTATGGGTGTATTATTAACTGAAGTGTCGGATATTTCATCGCTGCTATTACTGCGAATATCACCTTCCATCTGTAATATTTTTTCCAAAAAAAAAAAAAATTAGAGCATGTATATACAAGTGTATTTATTAGTTAATAATGAAAAAACGTTTCAATGAACGTGCACACGATAATCTATATAAATCAGCAGCACGTACCTGACCAGCATTGAAAGCATTATATGCGATCTTAAGGATTAAATAAGTCCAAATTGCATGGAGTAACAGTAGTAAAATTAATAGAGAATTGAAAATATAATATGCAGGGAACATCGGTACTATTTTAGGTGCCTCTATAGATGTGCTGCAATATATAATAAAATCCATATTTATGTAATTTCCACTTAAGATCCACAATTAGGCTATATAAGGACAAAAATACTGAAGTATATACCTATAAATTATCCAAAATGGGTATATACCCATACGTGTCACAACCCACAAAATTGTAAAAATAGCAAATATAAAATCACACAATTTCTGATAATTTGCATACTTTGCTATTTTTGCCGCCTACAAAATAAATTTATGTATAAAAGGAAACACAGAATATTGCACACAAAACTAATTTTCTCTTAAAATCCTTACCTCTAAAAATATGTCTGCACAATCATGTACCAGCAAAACCAAAGAGCCAATTCTCGTTAAATTTCCAACCCATGAGAAACACATGAGTATAATAGTAGCTATATGATGAATGAACATTTGCCAGAAATCTTTCCTTTTTACATCAAAAAATTGAGAAAAACTTAATGACCAATAAAGTGCCATTGATACCATATAATACCACCATATGTCATTAGTAACAGGGTGATAAGGGTAATTATAGTAACAATGATTTATATCCCAAAGCCAAGGCTTATCCCACAAGACAATAAGGCCATACAAAAAAGAATATATATAATAAACACATCTCCAACTGAAAAGTAATATATATATATATATATATATATTCTTAACAAATAAACACATATACATCAAATGTCTGTAAACACACACACAATATAAAAAAACATATAACAAACCTGTTTTCACAGAATTTTGTAAGAGTAGATGGCTTGTCCTGTGAACGACGTAATCGAAGCCACCTTTCCACTTGTCTTTCTGTCCAATCTAACTGTTTAGCTAATCCCAGTATCTTAAAATATTTTTTGTTACAAGATAAAATATTGATAATATATATATATATAAATATATAAATTGACAATTAACACATTAAATATTCATCACATTATATATATATCACATACAACTTATACTTGCTTATAATTATTTAATATTAATATATTAATATTAATATATTTGTAACTTAAATGTTTTATATACACATGCATATGCACATATATGCATGTACAATAATTCTATAACAAGTTATAGTTATTAACAAGTTGTTAACAATTAAATGATATTGATCAATATTGTATAAAATATATATATAGAAATGTAAATTCTGAGATTATATAAAATTAATTAATGAAATTATATAAAATTTCTTTATAAAATTAATTACTCACTTGCTTATGCTTAGTTTTCTTACTAAGATATGCCTTTTCTAATATTTCATTGGGTACAGCCTTTTTACTTCTTGTATTTTTTATACCAAGAGATTTCCCAAAGGGGGCAAACCAATACCTATTTAAGAAATATATATTACATATTACATGAGCTTTTCCTTTAATTTTTCTTGTTTGTAACAAATATATTTATTATTCATTTATTTATATTCATATATAAACTTATTAATAGTAATATATAATATATATTCAATAAAAATATTACAAAGATAAGAAGTATAATTACAGAAGAAAATTCAATTTGTAAGAAGTTTATAAGAACCTTTCAAGAGCATATCTTATTCCTAGAAGAATAAATGCCATTGGCAAGGGATATATTAAATGCTGATAATTAGCATATTTATTGTCTGCACTGGGACTGATGTCTTGCCATGTTATATTAGGCGGTAACCAAATATCTGGTGACCAAAAAGCTGCAGACATATTATTTAGAATATTCATTTTTCTATATTCTGCAAGTAAATAAAGAAAAAGTTTTATTTAATTATTCCTCTTTATAGAATTCAAAAATACAAATTATAAATATTAAGTCAAATTACCAAATAATATATGTATATATACGAATTGTCATTACAGGCTGTTTACTATATATAAGCATTTATATATAATATATATTTATATATTTATATATATATATATATATACATATATACAACCATGTAAGAATAACAAGAAAACACGTTAAAAAAAAATCAAGTGACACTTTAGTAAGCAGTGAATCATTGCATATCTTTTTCGCTTATCATTCATAAACATACACTCTCAAATTTGGAATGTAGGGAAAGAAGGAAATATTGTAGCACGTATAAATATACGTCGGGACGAAAATTTTCACGCCGAAAGGATATCGAAAACAACGAGAAATATTTACCTGGAGCCAGCTCGTCATATACCGCGCAATCTGAAACACGCCACCGGACAGACCAGAATGTGGAACGCTTTACGGGCTGTGCCTGTAGCAATGAGTAATAGAATAGTGTAGTAGTAGTAGTAGTGATAGTAGCAGCAATATCAAGTAGACGTATAGCACGCACTATTGTACTGTCACGAAATAATAACGTTATGCTAAATAATAGATAAAAACACGTACCACGAAGGGCAATGCAAACACCGGTCAACGTTAAATGCTTCTTTAATACTCGATACTGACAACCCAGACAGCCTAAGATCACCTATAAAGATTAAACTCGTCACTACGCGACCGTTGGTCGATGTTTCTATACTACTACCACTGCGATCACAACTACCACGAAAAAGAGTACTTTTCATGTAATCGAGATAACGAGCCTATTGACCGCGTGATCATCTCGTCTGTCTGATAATCTAACACTAGCGCCGGCATAACATTACAAAATATTTCTATTAATTAATGCATGATCAACTTCCACTGTAATTAGATGTTCTGGCACAAAATATGCCCGGCGAAATTGAGCATATCCGATCTTATTCGATCCAGTGAACATAGGTTGCGTTCAGAAAACAAAGCGCTCACTGAACGCTTAGTAACTATTGGTCCTTACTGTTAGATCCTTACATTCAGACCAATAACGTTGACGAATTATTCAACCGTTATGTAATGCCTTGTCTACAATAGAAAGGTCATTCTACAATACGTGTCGTAAGTTGTAAGTCGTAAGAATTGGCGAATCATAGTCGATTATTACAAAAATAATCGGCTATAATTGGTCAGTTCTTACAGCTTACAACTTACGACACGTATTGTAGAATGACCTTATGTCGTAGAGTCGTAAGTCGTAGAAATTGACCAATCATAGTCCGGTAAGAGAAAAATAATCGACCGCGATTGGTCAATTTGTACGATTTACGACTCTATGACTTCTATTGTAGACGAAGTATAACCGTTGTATTTTCTGAACGCAGCCATAGGTTGCGTTCAGAAAACAAAGCGCTCACTGAGCGCTTAGTAAAGCCAGCGGCACACGGTGCTTGTTTTCGTGCGGATTGCTTGCTGGATGAAAATACTGCGTTCTGATTGGTACATTTCCGAAGATGAATGGAAATGCACAATCAGAACGCAGTATTTTCATCCAGCAAGCAATCCTCACGAAAACAAGCACCGTGTGCCGCTGGCTTAACTATTAACTATTGGTCCTTACTGTTCGATTCTTACATTCAGACCAATAACGTTGACGAATTACTCAACCGTTGTGTAACAGTTGTATATTCTGAACGCAGCCATTGTTACCTTGTAGCCTCTGTGACACTGTGACCCTTGCTGGAAAACGGCCATTATAGATAGAGTAGGGGAGATATAGGAGCGCCTATGAGTGGAAACGTCCAACCGTTGAAAAGAGAAAGAAAATGAAGGAGCTCTTTCTGTTTCTTTCTAGCTTTGCGCTGATTGGTTCGCAGTTAACGTAGTGTAGAATACATGCGACGCGCTATAGAAGTAGTGGGGAGAGAGCTGTCCGAAGGGGACAAAGATAGAGAGGGCTCTCTCATTTTCTTTCTCTCTCATTCGAGAAGACGCTTTCGTGCCTGTCTCCCCTACTCTATCTATAATATCTCTATGGTCCTAGGGTACGATTCCTGACGGAGTACGACTGAGATGCGCATACGAAAATCTATATTATATGTAACGTGAACTGTATATTCTCGCATACACATCTCATTCGCACGCCGTCAGGAATCGAGCCCTTGTGTGCAAAGTCTATTCTATGGCTGGCCTATCCTATGGTTCCGATATTCGTTGCCAGTACTGAAAATATACAGTTTGTGTCACGTATATTATAGATTTCCAGTGCTAGCAGTAAATATCGAAACGCAGTCTTCTGGAGGATTCACACTGCGTCTGATGTCCGACGTACGACGTCCGACATTTAATGGAGAATTGAATTCTCCATTAGAAAGCTGTTCTCCTATTGGATGTCGGACGTCGTACGTCGGACATCGGACGTAGTGTGAATTCTCCATTAATATATTTCAAAGTAATGACAGTTAAGCCAGCGGCGCACGATGCTTGTTTTCATGCTGAATTACTTGCTGAATGAAAATACTGTGTTCTAATTGGTGTATTTCCATCTATCTTCGGAAATGTACCGAGCAGGGTCCCAGACAGCACACGGATGTCCATTGGATCTCTGTTATATGTCCATTTTCTTTACAAAAGACGTCCATAGGACGTACGTTTGTCACAACTTCGGACATAGGACGTCCGATGGACGTACAGGTCCGATGGTACAGTAAGGACATCCTGGTTATGTCCAATTTATGTCCACGGACGTAAATCAGATATACGGACATAAATTGGACGTGAAAGGTACACCCATTGGATGTCCGGTGCTGTCTGGAGTCTGGAGTACCTATCATGGAATTCGTCGGAATCGATTCCGATCGGAATAATTCCATTTCCCCTAGAAAAGACAATAGAAATCTAGGAAAGAATAACGGAATAAATTCGATCGGTATCGATTCCGACGAGTTCCATAATAGGTACCCAGAACACAGTATTTTCATCTAGCAAGCAATCCAGCACGAAAATGAGTATCGTCTGTCACTGGCTTTAATAAAGATATAAACTAATAAGCGTTTTTCATTGGCAGAACTGGTGTGTACTATAAGTGCTACCAAGGTCTGTTCATAGTTCGTTTTTATATTTAAAAATCGTCTTAAATATATCTTCAATACTTTTAGTTGGTCAAATTGTCTGTACAAATGCTATTACAGATAATTGTGATTAGCTAAAAGTATTACAGCTTCCGTTGTATCGATCCGTTGTTTCTTTAGCTCTTTCTCAACGCATGCACTGCTAAATATTACAATTTTAATTGTAATTTAATTATTATATTAAAATTATAATATATAATTTTAATTGAGCGTGCAATATTGAATTATATGCGCATATATATGTGCTTATACCCAGCTTATATTTACTTAGGATTAAAGTATGAGAATAAAATAACATGTAAAATTGGACAAGTCTTTAACCCAGGTAGCACCGGACATCCAATGGATGTATGTTTCACGTCCAATTTATGTCCGTATGTCCGATTTACGTCTGTGAACATAAATTGGACGTAACAAGGATGTCCTTATTGGACATCGGACCTATAGGACGTCCTATGTCCGAAGTTGTGATAAACGTACGTCCTATGGATGTCTTTTATAAAAAAAATGGACATACAGTGTGATTCAAAACAACCTTCCATTATTAAAAGTATAAAATCCTGATAAAATTCTAAAACAACTTTTCCTCTTGCAAAATTTTGGCAAAAGCTTTGATTTTTAATTATTAACAAAAATAGTAGACCTATTGCGGGTCGGGTACGGGAGGTAGACACGTGCGGCGCAACTCACCGTCAGACGTGGGCGCTAACGCGGAGTACCCGCAGCAATCAGCTGATCACACTACATATGTTATACACTAGCTACGTTCCAATATTCATTGCCAGCATAAAAATCTGTATTTTCTGTGACATTAGGTGATTGTTATAACTGGCAAAAATTTTGGAAAACAGCGAGGATTGTGCGCGCACACACATGCAAGCACGTTCTCGGTCTCTCCGAGTCTTTCTGTCTCTTTCTTACTCATTCACTCGTATTCATTGTACGACCAATGCGAAGCGGTGGTCGTGCGTGGTGGGGGATGGACCAATGGACATGCCGCGACGATCGTATAAATGCGTTGAAACAATTGATGCGTTAATCAATAATCCTGCGGTTATTGGAAGCGTTAACGTCAAGACGATATGGCAGCATACACGAACGAAGAATATTATGACATGCTATTGACACTCGGAGCCTGTCACGGCCAGCTCGCTGTTGCTGCTCGAAGATACGCCGAGCTGTACCCCAACCGAGCAAGACATCCGTCGCACCACGTTACAGATATAAAATACAGATTTTTATGCTGGCAATGAATATTGGAACGTAGCTAGTATATGACATGTGTAGTGTGATCAGCTGATTGCTGCGGGTACTCCGCGTTAGCGCCCACGTCTGACGGTGAGTTGCGCCGCACCTGTCTACCTCCCGTACCCGACCCGCAATAGGTCTACTATTTTTGTTAATAATTAAAAATCTAAGCTTTTGCCAAAATTTTGCAAGAAGAAAAGTTGTTTTAGAATTTTATCAGGATTTTATACTTTTAATAATGGAAGGTTGTTTTGAATCACCCTGTATAACGGACGTCCAATGGACATCCGTGTGCTGTCTGGGAATTAATAGGTAATATATTGTTAATGTTAAAGCCAGGACTTTACAGTAGAAATATATGAAAGCTTGGTCTAGGTATATGTATATGTACACTAGGTATATGTATACGTACATTGTATATGTCGTTGGTCAATTAAGTTAATCGAAGAGAGACAATGAAATTGATCCTATCATTTTTGATAAAAAGTATTTTTCATGCTGCTTTAATAACTGGAATCTAACGACCTTGTTTAAAGCCTATACGGTACAGAAAGTTGCAGCAACGTTGCTATAACGTTGTGACAATGATGCAATATTGCAGCGACGTTGCAGCAATGTTACTATAACTTTTGTGCTGTATAGGAAGTGGAAACGTGAAAAATTTTACATTTCCATTGTTAAAAAAGTTATATAATCGCTAAAGTCAGCGATATTCACCGCTAGTACTGAAAAGCTATAGTTTATGTTATATTTAATATAGATTTTCAGTGCTATTGATAATTTTAAAATAGCAGCTACAGTCATGAGATTCACATGAAACTACACTTTCCCTCTCTCATATTAACGCTCTCACAATATCGAATATGTATTTTTCCCTCTAGCACTTGTAAAAGATGAAAAGGTTTATTGATGAATTTTATATTCGTTAGTGATACTTTATAATTTTCACATCAATTCGCTACTTCACACCAGGGTATCGATCACGTAACTTTTCCCCATGAGTGAAAAGTGAAAAATTTCTCGTGAAGTTGCCTAGACAACACAAAATACTCCAAAATATCATGTGTGTGTCTAAAACATATTTAAAAAAAGATAGAACGTCATTTGGATGTTCTTAAAATATCTTTTTGTAATTTTATGTTGTTTAACTATGATCATACAGCTAGGGGAAACATGGAAACGTAAGCTTTTCACCAACTTTTTACGTAAACTTTTCGTCATTAAACTTGTTAGCGGAAAAGTGAAAATCTAATGACACGACGAATACGGAATATAATATTATTACTACTGCGTTGAAAATCAGTCGATCGCGCGCGTATTAATTTTCCTATCTTCGCACGAATTGCATTATATTAATATTTATTAGTAATATTATTATTAATATATTTATTATTATTAATAAATTTATTAGTAATATTTATTAGTAAATATTATATTAATATTTATTAGTATTTATTAGTATTTATTATGGCTGTAGCATGATGACTATTTCGAGTTGCAAACGAAGAAGAAGAAAGAAGAAATTTAAGGATACAAAAGAGAATTTTACGCGATATATCTAATCCTTTTGAAATATTGGAAAGTCAATTTATTCTTTTATATCGGTAAGTAAACTGCAGCAAATAATAAATTTAAATAAAACGTTACACATGTTATTGTAAATAGTATTAAAAAATATATAAAAGTTTATAAAATATTAATGAACATAAATATTTGTGGACTACCACTAATTTTTCACTTTTCACTCTAGGGGAAAAGTAACGTGATCGATACCTAGAGAGAAAAAGATATATGATCGATATCCAACGAAAATTGCATGACTGCTATCTAAGGCCTGGTTTACAATACGTTTCGTAAGTTGTAAGCCGTAACAATTGGCGAATCACAGTCGATTATTACAAAAATAATCGGCTATAATTGGTCAATTCTTACGGCTTACAGCTTATAACACATATTGTAGACCAGGCCTGAATTAAACCGAATGTTTACCGACGCACCAATGCGGATGCGTCAAAAGCGTTACACTGGACCGCTGGTCGCGCGACGCCGCGTAGCGCCCCGCCGGTAATACTTGCGTCTAGTCCGAGAGCGATATCCACTACGCCACTTCCGCTAACTCGCTGCTTGAGCAAAATGGACGCCTTTGTGTCTGTTTTCTTCGTATTCCCACTATAAGTACGGTTTACGGGGCGACGTAGCGTCTAGGACGCGGTGATGTTTGCGCGACGCCGCGGTAAACGTGCGTGAGGGCAGTGTCGTGATCACCAATCGTGCTCGAGGCCCATCGTGATCGACGTGGAAACGCGTCCAACCAAGTAGGCCACTGAGTAGTCATCCCGTGGATGACAATTGAGCGAGCATCGCCCGGACGACGGTGTACCCGCGGTGAGTTTCGCGACGGGGAGCCGTTGCGCCAGACATCACGCTATCCTTGACGACCTGCCGGCAGAGACGAGCGACGCGGGGCCACGAAACGCGTCCGGGCCTCCCGCCAAAACGCCAACCGCGGACGAAGCAAGCAACGGAACGGCGGTCGGACAACGTAAATAGTACGGGTAAGCAAGTGGTACGGGGTTGTCGCGACGCGCCGCGTCGCATTGTTCTGCTGTGCGAGGCGAAGACATAAACGGCGTTTTTTCGCGCGAGTGATCCAGCGTATTCTCTTGCTCATCAGTGTTCGGCGTTTGTGGTCCGGAGAAGTATCTCACGAGCATCCCCTCTCCTTCGCGCTGCAGCTGCACCTGGTCTCCACGACGATACAGTGTCGCGCGACGTACAATGTTGAGTGGTTGACGTTAATGCAAAGAAGGTAAATAGATGCTGTGCTGTGTATTCTGGTGACTATCTGGATCGGTATCTTGGAGGCAGCAGACTTGGCTATGGTCAAGAGATACTGTGTTTTTCTTCAGCTTATCATTGTGTTGTTGGGATCAACTCTGTCTGGTTATATGTATAATATAACAGCTGATTATATTGCATTCATGCGCAAAAGATGGCTACTTTGCAGAAATATTAGTATTTATTATGAGAGTTAAATGAATTTGGTTCAAATGAAAAATATTTCAATTTTGATGTTGCACTTTGTATGTATCAACAAGACTTTGAGTTATTTCGATATATATAAGTCTTGCACGAATGTTTTATAAGATATATAATATTTATCATTATTGTTTGTCTTTGAGTTTAAATTATAAAGAATGATAGAGATCATAATAATTTTGCAGCAAGCTATATATAGTATAAACTATGTTATATTGCAACAGATTTAAGCTGAATTTTTGTTTTTGTTTTTGTTATATTTATTTGTATGTAACATTTTTTCATTTTTAATTATATGAATATTTTCTAATTTCATTTTATTTTTTAAAAATATATAAGTAATATATGTGCGATAAATAGATGTTTGTAAAATAATATTCTACATATAGTGCATTTTATTTGCAGGAAGACAAAGTGTTAATAAACATGGATCGTTTATTGGAGGACCCAAGAGCTTCATCGAAATTTGGTTGAAACTTTTATGGTGCAACATGGGAACTTAAAAAGGACTTCGTTAAGTTCCTAATATTTGCCATAGTGTTAGTGTTCTTCAAAGAGGAATAGAGACTATTCCATTCAATGGTGAAATATTTGTGTTGATATGTTCTGAGAGATGCATAGTGCCAAAATTTTAACGATGATTTATTTAGACATTTGTGTAGTCAGTGCATTAAGACATATTCTGTTGATTTATATTTACTGCATATCATGAACAAATACTTGTAACATGTTTGTGCAGTGCTCAGCTCATCGTACTATCCCACGAACCCTAGGCGACGCTTAGCAACACTGACATTGATTTTGTTTCTTCTTCTTTTGTCCAGGCTGTAATGCCAGAACAAATCAAATTCAAAATGAATGGGGTTGTACCGAGTGTGCCAATAACTACCCTCGCTGGTATTGCAAGTCTTACGGACTTGTTGCCTGAAATGCCCCTACCGACTCCGCTGCCACAGACTTTGACTAACAAGTCCCTGCTGTTTCATCCACGAGTGGCCGAGGAGGCACAGATATTGCTGAGTGTCCGCGATGAGAATCTCGTGCCACAGTTGATACTGTCTCTGTCGCAGACCTCAGCTGATCACATCGAACTTAAGGACAATTACGCAAATACAGAGCAATCGCTAGAGACTGAGCAGAACATGCCTGAGCTGCTTAAAGCGATTTTACAGATAAATCCACATGTATTCAAGGGACCTCAGCACAACTCTCCCAGAAATTGGACGCAAAGTACGCCTATGCTGCATGCGAATCAATCGCCGGCAAACTATGGCCGCTTCTCGCCGTCCTACTCGAGCTCTTCGGGGTCCAGGCAAACGCCTCAAGGTAGTCCGGCTCATTCTGCGTCCGCCAGAACTGTACTTCCGCCGCCGATGGCAGCCAGCGGTATCTCTCACGCGCAACATCCGCGAATGCCAATCACGCCGCAGAATCACGCGGACATTTCGCAGATGTCCCCATTCGCCGTGCCTTCTCCGTCGCCCAGAGGAAATGTGATGACCGAACAAACGAGAACGCTAACAACACCCCAGCATATGCAAGAGGATACGAACTGTATAAATCCCTTATCCAACGTAGCCCTTCAGCCGAACATGTACTCGCCGGCCCACATAAGTCCTCCCAATGCGCCATTGACGTCACTCGGGAACGCAACACCTCAGCACCATAATATGGCTGGTATGACGCCGCAGCACAACATGCACATGGCATCACCTATACGCACCAACATGCCTCTACAGCAACATCCGACCATGGGCGTACAGCAGAATCTTTATGATCCCATGATGAATCAGCAAATGCAGCACGCATTGAGCAGTGGTCAGCCGCTGGACATCAACAGCGCGGTGCAAGAGAATCAGCAGTTCCTTCTCGATCCAGTGACTGGTCTTCCCGATATCGACTTGCCGATAGAAAATATCGATGCGAGGCAAAACGTTGATCATCATACGGTACAACACTTACTGCCGACTCCCCCAACCACGTCTTATCCGAATATCCATGCCACTGACATGGTTAATGCTTTGGATCCCGCAGCCAATGGGTCCTCCAGCATGCAGCATCAGCAGAATAATAATTCGGAAAGAAGCATGAAGCTGCCGGGCTCGTTGACAGAAAAACTGAAGGAACCGGTAGTGATGTTGAACAGAATATCGTTGGCTGATCAGGCGCTCATGCAGAAGAGCTTGGCGGCGTTTGCAGAGAAGTCACCGAGTCGCGCGGCAAAGATGGGGATTTCCAACCGTGACGACGCGAAGACTGATTCGGAGAGTGAGGAGGAAATAGGTAAGAACAACAAGTATTTCAAAGCGCGCGCCAAGGAACGGCAGGTGCAACGGGAGAAAGAAAGGGCAGAACGGAGAAAGAGCGAAGATAAGCGGAGGCGGAAAAGGATAACCGACGACGACGAAGAAGACGATAAGCGGGACGCAGCGTTCTCGCCTATGAAACCAAAAATACGAAAGATCGAGAAGAAGCTGGTGCCTGTATTAGCAAAATTGAGCGTGGAAGAGCTGATGGAGACCAACATGTACCAGCGATTTAATTCCACTATAGAAACCATCTTTGAGAACACCGAGGATGCTATGGCGAACGCCGATCTGGAGGATGACGGTGACGTGCCTCCGGAAATGCTTATTCCTAAGTACCAACTGCATGACCTTTGCACGGAAGCGGCTAAACTCAAGACTCAAGGCGCCATGGAATCCATACCTACGGATAAGCTGGTGAGACTGTTGAATATTTTGGAGAAAAACATACGGGACGGCGCGAGAGTGTCGCCGCTCGTGGATCCGGATGACGACGTCGAGGAAGGACGATTATGGATGCAATTGGCCATGGAACGAGTACAACGTGCCGTGGATGCGTCACTAATCGCGCTACATATTATGACTTCTAGCAATATGCCGAAAACGGTTTACTTGGAGGACGTAATCGACCGAATAGTCCTTTTTATGAAATTTCAGTTGCAGAACACGATCTATCCCTCCTTTGATCCCGTCTACAAGACAGATACGAAAAACAAGACTGAAAATTATAATTCTAGCGGGCGCAAAAAACGTGGCCACATGAAGGAAGTACGTGAGAAGAGTATTCTGCAGGTCTACAACAAGATGCATGAGCTAGTGAGTCTTTTGGCTGAGCTGTTGAATATACAGGTTCTAACTGACACAAGTGTTCTTCACGCGTCATCGTTGGGCGTTGCGCCGTTTTTTGTCGAGTCGGTGAGCGACCTTCAGTTGAGTGCGTTGAAACTTGTCACCATAATATTCACCAAGTATGAGAAGCACAGAAGGTTGCTGTTGGACGACATACTGGCGTCTATAGCGAGACTACCTAGTAGCAAAAGAAGCTTACGTACGTACAGGCTGAATTCTGAAGATCACATACAGATGCTGACCGCGTTAGTCTTGCAGCTCATCCAATGTGTGGTGGTGCTGTCGGACAACGCTCTACCATATTCCAAATCTTCGAAGGAGGACGAGAAGGAGGAGAAGAAAGACGAGAAGCGATCCAGTCACGTAGACGCCGACGTGTTTATTATCAACAGATACGAGACCGCCACGAGAATTGCAGGGAATTTTTTAACGGTGTTCCTCAACAAATGCGGCAGTAAAGGTGAAGAAATCGATTATAGGCCGTTATTTGAAAATTTTGTGCAAGACTTACTGGCGACGGTGAACAAACCTGAGTGGCCCGCTGCCGAGTTGCTCCTCAGTCTTCTTGGTAACCTGTTAGTGGGACATTTCTCCAACAAAGGTTCCGACATGTCATTGCGAGTGGCTTCCATCGATTATCTCGGTGTGGTAGCAGCTAGATTGCGCAAGGATGCGGTCAGTTCGCAATGCAAACTATCGACTATCGACCAGATCATAAAAGATATTAAACTCGAACAGCAGAAAGACTCGGATTACGATCAGATAAAAGATAAGGACATCGTGGGATTGAATGAGGACGAGGAAAGGACGGTATTCCTGCAGAAAGTGCTTCTCGATTATCTGGCTGTCAACGGGACGAAAGATTCCGCTCTCGGATACGCACGTCACTTTTATCTGGCGCAATGGTATCGGGACTGTGCGATGGAGAAGTCGCGAGTAGGCCAATCGAAGAACAGTCCGAGCAAAAAGATGCACAAGAAACGGACAAAGAAGAAGAATCGACATCACAATAGCGATCAAGAGACCGAATCCGAATTGGACGAACAGGACCCGGACGAGAATGACAATAACGAGCAAAAGAATTCGGAGGCTTACAGGATTATTGAGGAGAAGAAGAAGTACATTATCAGTAGAATAAGGCCATGCAGTACTGGAACGAAGCTGGACATTCTTCAGACATATATCGATTACAATTCCGCTGAGCTGATCTCGCAGTATCTCGCGTCCAAAAGACCGTTCTCGCAGAGCTTTGACAGATATCTCAAGCAAATCCTCCATGTGCTGACAGAATCCTCGATTGCTATTCGAACCAAGGCTATGAAGTGCCTGACGATGATCGTCGAAGCTGACCCGAGCGTGTTAGCCAGGGTGGATATGCAGCTGGGCGTGAAGCACTCGTTTCTCGACCACTCTACGTCTGTGCGAGAAGCAGCGGTTGACTTAGTAGGCAAATTTGTCTTAAGCAGGCCCGAGCTGATTGATAAATATTACGATATGCTATCGGCTAGGATCTTGGACACCGGCGTGAGCGTGCGTAAACGCGTTATTAAAATTCTCAAGGATATCTGCATGGAATGTCCTGATTTCCCGAAGATCCCAGAGATATGCGTGAAGATGATAAGAAGAGTGAACGACGAAGAGGGTATCCGCAAGCTCGTCATGGAGGTATTCCAAAACATGTGGTTCACTCCGGTGAGGGAGCGTCCAACTCTCGACTCTGAATCTTTGTTACGAAAGGTCATGAATATCACAGACGTCGTAGCAGCTAGTAAAGATATGGGACTCGAGTGGTTCGAGCAGCTGTTGGTAAGTCTGTTCAAGCCGAAGGAAGATAAGGACGACAGTACGAAAATGCAAACAGAGCCGCCTCGGGCTTTGCTGACGGCTTGTAAGCAGATCGTGGATTGTTTGATCGAGAATGTGCTGCGATTAGAGGAGACGAATTTGGAAGATACCGAAAAATCGAAGAGAAAGGGCTCATCGCAGAGATTAGTCGCCTGCTTGACGACACTTTATCTTTTCGCGAAGATCCGACCGCGGCTGTTGGTCAATCATGCCATCACCTTGCAACCTTACCTGAGTCTGAAGTGTCAAACACAGGGCGATTACCAAATCATCAGCAGCGTCGCTCACACGCTCGAATTAGTGGTGCCTCTGATGGAACATCCTAGCGAAACTTTTTTAGCGCAGTTGGAGGAGGATTCCGTGAAACTGATCTTGCAACACGACAGATCAGTGGTTGCGAGTTGCCTGTCGTGCTTAGGCTCCATAGTCAATAATGTAACGCGCAACTTCAAGTTAATACGAGACTGCTTCAAGAAATATTACGGACATTTGACGGAGTACAAATCGTTCTACGAGAGGGATCCCACGAATCCCATGCTGCTGAAGTACAGACCATTCTTCCGGAGGGCATTGTTTACGGTCGGTTTACTGCTACGTCACTTTAATTTTATGGATCCGGAGGTGATAGAAGGTCTGGCGGACAACATCAAGGATCAGGTCTTTGAGACGCTCAACTACTTCGTTCATCTAGACAACGACGACATCCGGCACTTCACGCTGTCAGCCATCGGTTCCCTTTGCATACGGCACTATGAGTTCATGATGCTGCCGGAACTGAAAGAGCTCTATCATCATTTGCTCACGTCGGAGCACGCGTTGGTGCACATGCGGATCCAGGTGCTAAATAATATTGAAGTGTATTTGCAGGAGGAAGAAAAACGAATGATCAAACAGGACCTCGAATGGGCGAAGCTGTCGAAGCAGGAGAACCTGAAGGAGATGGGCGACGTGTCGTCGGGAATGGCGAGCACCGTTATCCAGCTTTACATCAAGGAGATTCTCGAGTCCTTTCTGCACGTCAACATAAGCGTGCGACACGCGGCTCTGAAGGTTATCCAGCTGATCCTGGCGCAGGGCCTAGTGCATCCCGTCCAGATAGTGCCGTATTTGATTTGCATGAGCACCGACTGCGAGAAAGTGGTCAGTCACAGCGCGGACAAGCAACTGCAGGACATCGAGAAGAAATATCCCGGTTTCATCCACATGAAATCGCAGTTCGGCATCAAGCTGAGTTACCGACTACAGAAGATTCTACAAAACGACATTACGGTGAGAGGTATGCGGGTCAAGGAAGGTGAGTTTCCGGGTGCTCTTAACGGCTTCCTTTACACGATACTACGTAACACGAAACAGCAGAGGCGTGCGATCGTGCTGTCCTTTCTCAAGCATTTTGACGAGACCGCTAAGACCAGTTTGTCGCAGATGCTGTATCTGGCAGACAATCTCGCCTACTTTACATATCAGGTGCAAGACGAGCCACTGTTTATTATCCACCACATCGACATCATCATTTCCATGTCCGGCACGAACCTACTGCAGTCCTTCAAAGAAGCGCTGCTGCCTAAGGAAGGCAGCGCACCGTCGACACAAGCGCAAAGTGCGCTCACGCAGACAGTGATTCTGGGAACGGACGGTCAACCGCGACCGGACCAGTTGTTGTCACTGGAAGATGAGGAGGATGACGAGGAGGATGAGGAAGCTCTTTTGGCCAGGTTACCAGGTGATACTACTCTGCTCAGGGAGTACATCACCGCAAGTCAAGGCTTCCTGCTTCTATTGACATTGCGGCAACATCTCAAAGATCTCTACGGCTTTTCCGACGCAAAGATCGGTCAATATTCGCCTTCGGAGGCGGCCAAGGTGTACGAGAAGACGGTAAATCGCAAGAATAATCTGCAGTTTGAGCCTAAAGCTACGCTTCAGAGGTTACGTGAAGGCGTAACCAACGAAGAGCTGGATGCGAACGGCAGAAAAAAGCTCGTGAAGGAGTATCTGGACTTTAAGCAACTGATGCTTAAGTTCGACCCCGAGGAGCCGGAGGACGACGGTTGCACCGGCAACGACACTACCGCAGACACTAGCGGCGGCAAGCAGACCGGCGAGAACTCGCATACGACGCAGAGGATACCGTCGCATCCCGCGAACGACGCCGGTAGGACGATAGCGGACACCAGTGTCGTGAGTGACAATGTTCTAGCTAATGTCGCCGGCCAGCAGTTTCAGCTGCTACCTGCGCCGCCGCAATCGAATTTGAACTCTGTTCCGATGGAGCATCCGAATAACTCGGTAAATTCGCTGCCGATGGCGGCAGCGTCGCTGACTACGTCGGCGACGACACCGCGAGTCCCTAAACTGACGATACACGCCCATCCGGACGCGAGGGAGCATCGCAAACACCGCGCGCACAAGACAGACAAAGTGAGGAAGCACAAGAAGAAGAAGAGGAGAAGAATCTCCGATAGTAGCGACAGTGGCGAGGACTATAGTGACCCTGACTTCCTAGTGTGAGTGCGGTGGTACATCTCGACCTGTGTGTACATATATATACGTCATGCTCATATGGTGCGTATGTGTGTATGCCTGCGTGCGTATGTGTGTATATGCGTGCGTGCATGCATGTGGTCGGTGTGGTCGGCCGGGTGTGAATTGAACATTGAAGAGAGACGACACTTAGCTAGAACGCTGTTGCAGTGGAGTGCGATGGTCCCTTTGTCTCCCTTATTCCCCGAAATGACCCCGAGCCCCATCGAAGTTGTGCTACGATTTTGAAGACGATGTCAAGAATGTTTCGGTTCGGAGACGTCGTTCAGGGAACTGCAGTGATGTAGGGATGCGTGCGAGTGAGAGAAAGAGAGGAGGAGATCCTCGATCGGAAGGATAGTCAGAGATTTTTAAACGCGATCCTACGCTGAGTTAGGGATATAACGTTGTTGTGGCCGAAACGGCGGGCGTCCGTGAGGTTTATAGATCCGCTGTGCCGTTGTTATCGAGATCGGCTCGTAAAATATTTCGTGTGACCGACGCGGAACTTGGTTCGTTTTCGGATTAGCTTCTTCCGCTCAGGGAAGCTGCAGTTTCTTGGATCACTTCCAGCTGCTGCAGTTTGCACGATTCCGTCAGAACGGAGAGACGGCCGAAGAAGCTTTGGGGTCGTGAAGTCGTGTCCGAGAAGACATCGCGAACCAAGTTCTGCGTAAGAACTCAAGTACAATAAATTACGTTCGAACAAAATTCATTTGTAAATAATATCATATAGCGATGGCGACGTCGTACGGTTGTTGGTTAGCTTCTGTTCGCGGTGAAAGAAATTTGTGCGAAGAGAGAGAGAGAGAGAGAGAGAGAGAGAGGAGAGAGAGAGAGAGAGAGAGGAGAGAGAGAGAGAGGAGAGAGGAGAGGAGAGAGAGGAGAGAGAGAGAGAGAGAGAGAGAGAGAGAGAGAGAGAGAGAGAGAGAGAGAGAGAGAGAGAGAGAGAGAGAGAGAGAGAGAGAGAGAGAGAGAGAGAGAGAGAGAGAGAGAGAGAGAGAGAGAGAGAGAGAGAGAGAGAGAGAGAGAGAGAGAGAGAGAGAGAGAGAGAGAGAGAGAGAGAGAGAGAGAGAGAGAGAGAGAGAGAGAGAGAGAGAGAGAGAGAGAGAGAGAGAGAGAGAGGAGAGAGAGAGAGAGAGAGAGAGAGAGAGAGAGAGAGAGAGAGAGAGAGAGAGAGAGAGAGAGAGAGAGAGAGAGAGAGAGAGAGAGAGAGAGAGAGAGAGAGAGAGAGAGGAGAGAGAGAGAGAGAGAGAGAGAGAGAGAGGAGAGAGAGAGAGAGAGAGAGAGAGAGAGAGAGAGAGAGAGAGAGAGAGAGAGAGAGAGAGAGAGAGAGAGAGAGAGAGAGAGAGAGAGAGAGAGAGAGAGAGAGAGAGAGAGAGAGAGAGAGAGAGAGAGAGAGAGAGAGAGAGAGAGAGAGAGAGAGAGAAGAGAGAGAGAGAGAGAGAGAGAGAGAGAGAGAGAGAAGAGAGAGAGAGAGGAGAGAGAGAGAGAGAGAGAGAAGAGAGAGAGAGGAGAGAGAGAGAGAGAAGAGAGAGAGAGAGAGGAGAGGAGAAGAGAGAGAGAGAGAGAGAGAGAGAGAGAAGAGAGAGAAGAGAAGAGAGAGGAGAGAGAGAGAGAGAGAGAGAAGAGAGAGAGAGAGGAGAGAGAGAGAGAGAGAGAGAGAGAGAGAGAGAGAGAGAGAGAGAGAGAGAGAGAGAGAGAGAGAGAGAGAGAGAGATGGAGGAGGGGGGAGAGAGAGAAATTGGGAGAGGGGAGAAAGAGAGAGAGAGTAACGCTAGGCATTGAAGAGAAAAGGAAATACACACAACGTGCAATTCGATTGGTCTCGATAAGATTCGTCGTTGCTCCCTCTTCCTTCCTTTTCCGAAAATGAGAAAAGCAAGTACTGTTTATGTCGATAATGCTGAATCCCAACAGAATTCTCAGGCATGTTTGAATATCTATCGAGGCAAAAATTCGTGCGGTCTTTCGAGTTTCCGACTTTACAGAGAGGATACAGAGTGGGATTGATCGGTAGTTAGCACACAAGATTACGAATTTTTGTCGCTTCTCGCGAATTTTAATACAAAATTTGCATTAAATTGTTTGTCTGTATTTGAGAACGCCAGTGTTGTCGCTGTAAGCGGTAATTGCTTTCGTTAAGAGGGCGATACCAAACCGAAAGTTTACAAAATTTTGGCAGACGACACGAATCGTACATCGACGCTGGGTAGATCCGTATAGGCTCTCTCCGCGGTATGTATAATAAAGATATGTAGCAAGACACATTGCCTATGCATTATGAAACGTTGTTTGTAATATCTGTACATAAAAATCTTCAAGTAAAGTATCTTATTTTCTTAAAAACTATATAGCGGTGACATTACGAAGAAAATACTTAAGATTTCGTTGTAATATTAAGTAATATTTATTCAGGATTCATGTTGTCCCGATATAGTTTGCTTCGCGCACTCACTCGTCCTTGGTGTACGAAACAACAAAAGATGACAAAGGAAAAAGAACAAAAAGAGACAGAGGTATCGTTTTTATACAAGCTTAGAGGTAACGATAGCGGCGTACTCTCGACGAAAATGGAAAAAGAGCGGGAAAGACCTCCCTTATCGGCGTTATCAAGATGTTAGAGGAAACGTGGCTGAAATTCATGCTGTATTTTGCGAAGTATGGTGCAATTCCCTCAATATTTCCGTCAAGTCTCGCTGACTTTTTACTTCTCATTCACACCTCTCGGAGCTTGTATGAAGTTCCGAAATATTAAAAATCCGTAAACCGCAACCTCGGGATTCTTCAGTCGGCACATCCGGAAATTCGAGGATCAGGACACTTTCGCGCTATGAAATTTTAAAAAAGAAACAAATGTGTTTGCGAGATATAATCCATACACAAATACACACATACGTACGCATGCGTACACAAAATGCAGATATTTATCTGAAAAATTATTGAGACATTTCCACCTACTACCGTCTATACGAAATCTTTGTGAACAAATTCGTCTTCGGGATTGCACCTTTCAATTCGTCTCCATTTCCACTACATAGCGGTTGTTACATAGCAGCTGACGAGAGACATAAGGAACTTGTCGAATAATATTCGGACATATAAACTATTTCTCTCTCTTTCTCTCTGTCTACCCCCCCCCCTCTTCCCTACTTTTCTCTCTTCCCCGTGCTTTTTTCTCTCTCTCTCTCTTTTTTATTGTACTTGCGAATTCAGACGTCGATCAATATCAGGTTGAGTGGCAGCTGCGATTTCGTGAATCTTGAGAGCATTTTGTATTCGTGACTTTCTTTCCACCGCGATGATTAGTCTTTTTTTTTCTTATATATTTTAGATCACACATAAGGGAGACACGGTGAAGAAAAAAGACAAGAGGGGGAGAAAGAGGGAGAAAAAAGAAAAAATGAGACGATTGTCGCGTTCCTCTTATGATAACGAGGGTAGAAATGGACCACGGTCTGTTGCTCAACCAAATCAAACTCGAACATCATTTAGGTGTATTTGGTATTTGACGAAAGAAAGATCTCCAGAATACAGGATGTACCGAGATTAATCGCGACCTGTCATATCTTAGAATGCTAATTGAGCACGCGTATCCTTGCGATCTGGAAACGGAGACGATGATTCGATCGAACGAACGCTTCTGTATACGTGCCGAATCCGCTTTTGTTTCCCCACATTACCAACACTCACGGATGATATAAATACATTGTAACGAACGCTTCGGAGTATTTGCCCGATTACATTGACAAGTATAATTTGCGATTATGCGCGGCTTTTATGTTTTTTTGAAATATATGGAAAGACGTCTGTAGAGGCAATTGAATGGATGCTGCTGTCGCACCCTGAAATTCATGCGATTTTGTGTTCCAAACTGTGTTTTATTTTTTCTTTCGTTATACACCAGTCGCTTCACCAATCGAATTCTTGTAAAAAACGCATATTTTGCGGGACGAGAAAAATGATTAAATTTTTATTTTTATCATGTGTATTCGCGATTTTATCGCTACTTAATATAATTTCCAGTTTCTTTCGCTCAGGGCGGAAATCTGTTTGACAATTTGTTTAAAAATTTGATTCTCGTGATTTTCCATGCGGAGGAAGCACGATACGTTTTGCATTTCAAGGGAGCGTTCTTACGATCATACGTCAACATGATGCATTTATAATGTTCGACCACGAGGGGCGTGCAAATTTTCGCGCCGTGCGGATTCGATCGTCGTGAGACCGCGCAAAACTTTACTAACGAACGCAGGGTCTAGGAGGTATGTTCTCACGTCCTTGGTTTACGATAAAAATTCGCGCTTAATCGAGGCCCAGATGTACACCCGTCTATGTCACGTCAATAAATCTGGCAGTAAAACTTATATGAATTTATTCGTCTAGCTTTAAGGATGCGCGCCGGCGGAAGCGCACGTGGCGATTTCACATTTTTGGAAGGAGAGACTTTTGTTATTCTCTCTTTGTTTGCTTGCGGAAAGTCTTCGGAATTATTTCGTACAAATGATACGTAATCATGTGTGAAAGTAACCACATGAGACTACACTTATTTTTTCTACATACAAGCGAGTAGAGGCTCTCTTGAGAAATTGTCTTTTTTTCTTTTTTAATGAATGCTGCAAATCGAAAGCAAGAAGAGATTGAGCGCGATGATTTCAGGAGGAATCTATAGAGCGCGTTTAATTAGGAAGTAACGGGTCATGTGCGTTTCTGGCGATTAGATTAGTGAAATTTGGTTACTAAACGTAACGAATTTCTTTAAGAAAAAAAAAAATTCATGGAAAGACCTATCTTTTCGGTTGGATGCGAATTCGAGACTTGATACAGAAGACTGCGTAGCACATCCAGATTTTCACGAACGACGACTGTCTCAGTGTCGGGAAAAGATCGAATACGAGTTAGTGTAACGATCATCCTCCGTTGCTTTTCGCTTGAGCAACGCTTGCGAATTTCGCACAAAATTATTGTAGATTTGTTCTCGGTCGCAGGCAGGTGGAATTTTTATTTTGCGCACGCGTCACACTTGCTCTTCTTGTAACCGTTCGCACTTTTCGTTAATTTCTCTTGGCGCAAGAAGTTGCAAAATTGCAATAAACGAAGAAAAAGTGTCACTTATTGAGAAGCTTTCGATGGACAATAAAACTCGCGATACTTTGTAACTCGCTATCTCCAAGATACCGTTATAATTTACTAGTTTTATAATGCATCGAAAATTTTTATGGACCCATTTTGCTCTCTCTTACTATCATTGTAATTATATTATTAGTATAATTATTTATCAATTTGTGAATCACCTTTTATATTTCAGCGTTAGAGGCTTGATCGCGGAGGGACAAGACTTCTTTTTTTATTGTAATGTTACAAAACGCTCGTGATCTCGCTTTCGAACCTGTACCGTCCCTGGAGTGTGCAATCCTAGAGATTAAGCGAGAATTGTTCTTCTCTTTTTTTTCGACGCGCAGTTTCTCCTTCCGCTGAAATTAATTGGAAAGTACGATACGCGATCAATATGAATATGTTGATCGTTAGTTAATTGAATCACTGTAAAATTATTTACATTCGGTAAATATTGATAGGAGAATCTTATGAGAGAGCGAGCGAGAGAGAGAGAGAGAGAGAGAGAGAGAGAGAGAGAGAGAGAGAGAGAAACAGAGGGGGAGAGAGAGAGAGAGAGAGAGAGGCGATATAAAAATGTACGAATTTAACCGAGTCCTCAGTATTTATATACCTTTTTCTACTGTGCGTTTTGTATAATCGACGGAAGTAAATCGTAAAAAAAGCCAAAAAATGTTCAAAACGGGAGTTGTATATGGTTTCGTGCGGCCTTTCGTAGCGGAAAAGTTCTCTCCGAAGTCAGCCTCTTTTTCCAGTATTATCGCGGGAATTCGAGAAAGTCTTTTTCTTAAATCTAAATCTAACGATGGCTACGATGTGCATGTACATATAGTATACACGTGTATATATAGGTATATATGCATTATACTATATGTATGTATATACATACACATATGCAAGTGTCTGTAAATAATTCACGAATGTAAAGATTCTAATAAAATTTATCAATAACTCATGCGTTCTGCAACCCTTTCAGAAAAAAAGAAAAATACTCGCGAAGCGAAAGTTTTTCACTCATGTCATTCGTGCAGAGTCGGGCACAGTTTGATCTTTCATTTCGTTCATCTGCGAAAATAAGGGTCGCAAATGTTTCAATTCATCGTCGTATATGTAACTCTCGACAATCTTCCATTTTGAAGCTTCTCGTAAGAGACGCTCTTCGAGGCGCTTGTTACAAGAGAAAGAAATGTTACGCGTATTTTCTTCATGAAAATCGCTTTTTAATAATAGCACTGATCGTGTCAATTCTATCGACTTACCGATCAATGATTCGCTGTTCGCAACCAAGAGCCGTAACTCTTATGCAATAGAGAAAACAATACCTTCTTGCGAAACGGATATTGAGAAGAGCCGTTATTATTTCGGAGGGAGGAAAAGACGAAATAGAATTATCGCTTAATGAAGCAAATAATATTAAGGTCGTGTGTGAGATTGAAAGGCAGCGCAATTATTCGTGGGGCTTCTATCGTCGACTAAGCAGACAAAATGTTAGTCATGTGTTACAACAAGGGACGAAAGGGAGGCTCCGCTGTACAAATGTTCACATGTATATATTTATTGTATCTGGATTTTGGAGCAGTTTAGTGATAAAAAAATTGCGGCAGCCGAGTTGCACCGAGTGACGTGACGTGTGTTGTTGGTCGGGACAGAAAGTATGAGTGAGAGATTCGCGCGAGAGAGTGGTGCGTTAAACGATTTTATTGTTCGTTGTAATAAACAAACTTCTAGGCGATACGCGTATTATAAATTCTAAATAATTATATTTCTACATATAAATAAATAAAATAAAAAAGTATAAATATATATATGAAAAAATATAAATATAAATAAATATATATATATATATATACACATATATACATACATTATACACAATGTCTAAAGAAAGACGAACAAGAGTACGCGTTTATGATTTCGCGCGTAAGTATTCCCACAGAAGGAAGAGTTGCCGTCATATCGCGCCGCGATTACCCCATGCGAGATGTAAACAAATATAGTAATTAATAATAATGATATAACAAGGGAGTGTGTGTTAAACGTATCGGGACGATCCTTCAGACTGGCTATCATTCGGCGTGATATGACGGTCACGCTTGTATTATAATATTATATTACCATTATGTTTTTTGTATTTGGTAATCTAAACGAAGGGATATCGAATTAACAGACAGAGGATTGATAGAAAGTATATTATATATATTTGAGTAAAGCTACCGAGAGTTGCAGTTATCCGGGACACGTCGACAACGATTGTCCCTTCCTCACTGTTCCGCTCTTTTTCCACCCCACTTCTCTCTCTCTCTCTCTCTCTCTCTCTCTCTCTCTCGCCTTCTATTTTCACGTCCTTTCGTGTCCCTGATAAATGAAAATGAAAACGACGAAACACAGACAGGACGTTTTATAATAAAACAAAACTGAAATATAATGCGCGAAACGGCGCTTCTGGATAAATTCAACGCTCGTTTACTCATAACTTATTATGTACATCGTCTGAGAGAAACAAAGGTACGTTCGTAAAGAAAAATAAACATAAGTATATATCAATGTTCCGTACCTTTATTTTTGTCCTTGCCATGTTATACGTACATTTCATTTGGATACGAAATTCAAATTCAAAATACGAGATTCAACTCAACTCAGGCAAACGTCGGGATATTCTTGATGTCTGATTCTTTATTTCTCCATTGGACGTATCTGTATAAAATAAAGTGAAATATCGATTTTATATACATTTATATCAGAGTTGAGAAAGTTATTTTGTAAAAGTAATTAGTTACAGTTGCAAGTTATTGACCTTCAAAAATAACACGTTACAGTTATAGTTATTTAGAAAATAACGAGTCGTTCCTTTTCAATTATTTGTTTACAATAATTATGCTATTATTTTAAATTTCATAATTGTGTAAATTCCTTCAATTTTTTGTATATAAAATTAGTTTGTTGATTATTATATTCCTCATATTGTATATAATTTTTACATTACTAATACAACTAGGCAAAGAAAGAACGGCCCAGTTGTTCCCGTTTCCAAGTTTTTGCTGTAACTCGAATATTTCTGCATATGCTGGCCATGGCATTTTACAATCCTTCTACGAAGATTGAGATGTTTTATCTCAATGTTTTATCTATTGCTTGAATTTTTTATATAATTGAAATCATGTAGCGCACTTCACGCTGAACATAGATTATGTTAACAAATAAGGACTGGAGATGCGCGGAAATGTCCAATAGGTGTACAATTTTTTTAAAAGAAATACAGGTTACGTTCGGAGAGGAGACTATCAACGCTATTACGTCATTTTATCCTTGTTTTATATCTAATGAACGATAAGGATAGATGACGCAATAGCGCGTTTTTCAAATGTAGTCAGAATAACTGTATGCTTATTGGATATTAAGCATCGCACGTCGCGTTATCATGCTGGTCTATCAGAAACTTAAGTTTGAAATATATAAAGTAACTACTAAAGTAACTATTAAATTAGTTATTAGTTATCAAATAAATGTAACTAAGTTAAGTTACAGTTATAAATGGAAAAAACGGAACGAAGTTAAATTATAGTTACCAAAAAAAAAATAACTAATTGTAACTTCGTTACAAGTAACGAGTTACTTCCCAACGCCGATATATAGGGTGTCCTATTTTAAAAAACGCACCTCGATAATTTTTCAACAAAGCATTTTCAGCAAAAATGCTTTGGACAAAAGTTGTATGATTTCAAGGGGGACATAAAACAACTATACTATTTTGTTTATAAAAGGCACTACTTTCGAGATTCACTGATCATTACTTTTTTTAAACGGAAACCCCAATTTTTTATTACACCGTATTTTTCTACCAATTAATTTAAACAACTTTTGTCTGGCCAATTTTTTTACTTGCTTAATATTTTTTGAAATATTTGAGGAAAGCTTGATAACTTTTTCAATATTTAACTTACGATATCTCGCTAACTATTTGTCGAAAGAAAAAATGGAGCTAAACTTTCTTGCTTTATTTAGTCTCAAAAATATATTGTTACAATAGTGCCCTGATTTTTGTTAATTTGATGATTTTGAAATTTCCAAAAGTCAATAAGTTAACAAAAGTCAGGGCACTATTGTAACAATATATTTTTGAGACTAAATAAAGCAAGAAAGTCTAGTACCACTTTTTCTTCCGACAAATAGTTAGCGAGATATCGTAAGTTAAATATTGAAAAAGTTATCAAGCTTTCCTCAAATATCTCAAAAAATATTAGACAAATAAAAAGCTGTTTTAGACAAAAGTTGTTCAAATTAATTGGTAGAAAGAACAGTGAAATAAAAAATAAGAGTTCCCATTTAAAAAATGCAAGTTGACCTTCAAATGACTTTCAAAGTCATGGCCAAGGTCAAATTCAAGGTCACCATTAAGTCTGTTACTCGATTTTCTACAACTTTTGTACTTAAAGTTTTTCATGAAAACTTGATCCTGCAAAGTTATCCAGGGGTTCAGGTATTTTTAAGACATTCTGTATATATATAATATTTATACAGGATGAGGAAAAAGTGCCGGATCGGTAAAATATCTCGATAATCAAGCGTTTTAGAAAAAAATGTTTCGAACAAAAGTTGTATGATTTCAAGGGAAACATAAATAACTATATCATTTTGTTTATAAATGGTACCATTTTCGAGATATCCACTGATCATTACTTTTCTTAGATGGAAACCTAAATTTTTTATTACACCGTCTTTTTATACCAATTAATTTGAACAACTTTTGTCTGAAACATTTTTTATTTGCCTAATATTTTTTGAGATATTTAAGGAAAACTTGACAACTTTTTCAATATTTAATTTGCGATATCTTGCTAATTTGTCGAAAGAAAAGTAATACTAAACTTTTTTGCTCTATTTAATCTCAAGAATATGATGTTTCAACAGCGTCCTGACTTTTAGTAACTTACTGACTTTTGGAAATTTCAAAATCATCAGATTAACAAAAGTCAGGGCGCTATTGTAACAATATATTCTTGAGACCAAATAGAGCAAAAAAGTCTAGTACCACTTTTTCTTTCGACAAATAGTTAACGAGATATCGCGAGTTAAATATTGAAAAAGTTGTCAAGTTTTCCTTAAATATCTTAAAAAATATTAGGCAAATAAAAAAATGTTTCAGACAAAAGTTGTTTAAATTAATTGGTAGAAAAAGATGGTGTAATAAAAAATTGGGGTTTCCATTTAAGAAAAGTAATAATCAGTGAATATCTCGAAAATAGTACCATTTATAAATAAAATGATATAGTTGTTTTATGCCTCCCTTAAAATCATATATATATATATAGTATATATATATATATATATATATAGTATATATATAGTATATATATATATATATAAGTTTCGCTTGCATATACGTACAAACGAGGAACGTCCTTAATATATTGCAGTTTCCTCGGTTCTTTCGTATTGAGATCTTGCATCTTGCATTTTTCGTTCCAAACTTTCGTCGGATTCAATAGAGTCGAGTGCTCTCGTGTTTTTATCGTTTGCGATTTGACTATCTTTGTTGTCTGACTCTGCGCCGACTTTCGTAACATTGCTATCATATATTTCTTTCTTCTTATATGTTCCTCGTCTTGTTTTCTGTTGGTGCCATTCATAATCATGATTATAGAGAATTGTTGATGACATATAACATGATATTCTTTACTTAGACTTAGGACGGTACTCATAGTCGGATCTAATATTAAAAATTTGAACGTCATCTTTATCAGAGATGCTGCACGGGTCGTTTTATTAGTTACGGAAGATCTGAAGAGAAATTTAAGACCATCTTAAATATAAAATTGGACTTTGGGAAAGTCGTAGATAAAAGAAGAATCTCACGCACTACTCTTCCGCGTGTGTTATTTAGTACATCATCGTTCACTCTGATATTTACCTTCAACTTTAATAACAGCTGACATTACCTGAAACTTTCGATCATCGCTGGATCGTACTTTCGTTCTGTTTTCGAATCGTCCTTCGACGCGTTGGCGGAAAGTTCCGTCAATTTTCTTTTATGGTAATCCAGCAAGGTCGTTTGAATCATCTTCAGTCTTTCTTGCTTACGTTTCTCTTGCGCGGCGAGCTTTGACTCCATCAACCTTTTCGACTGTTGCTCCTCTATCGAACGTTTATTCTCCTTCTCCATTTTCCACTGTCTTATTAATTCCTTTTTCCGATTGGCGCTGCTAATATTGACAACGTTACCGGATGTTGTTGCTTTTGTTTCGTGTTTATTACTCGCGCCGAGTCGAAGTTTCTTCGCGATGTCAAGATTTGACTCTTCGCAAAAAATTTCTTCCGCGTTTTCGGCTATCATTTTGTCTTCGCGGATTTTTTTCTCCATTTCTTTCTCTTTACGCCATTTCCTAATATTTGATTTTTGTTTTTCACGCAGACTCAGGTAAATCTTGTACCAAGCCTCATGATTCACTATGGCCTCCGCAGTTAAATCCGGACATTTAGACTGAATGGCGGCTACCAAAGCAGGTGTGGTGTTGCATTTCTGTCGTGTGTTCACGAACAGCTGATGATCTTCGTCGCTCCAGTTATCGGTGTGGCCTGCAAAGAAAAGTATTATGTATTGTAAATACACGATTCTGATTTAACCCTAAATTTAATTCTGAAATTACGACTATTGGGAAAATTACTTCTGGAAAATAATGCGTTATCGTTATTTATTACCTATTGAGAAAAGTAACTTGTTATCATTATCATCACTCAATAAGTAAGGAATCACGCGCATTACAATTTTTGTTACTTTTACCTAATTGTGAAGAACTTCCCAGTAAACATCGATATCTTGTAAACATCTAAAAGATATCTTATGAAAGATATATTCAGTATTTATGCAAAAGGGGCCTCCTCCCCGATTTAATTTATTTTTAAATATGTTGTTGGGGGAGTGTTTCTGAGTCGTTTTATATACATATATAAGGGTCGGACGCAAATAGCTTCGAAGATACAAGTTGAGAAAGAATAGAAATAATAAGTATTCTAGGGAACTCGCTTCATATGGAAAGTCGTATTGTTTTGTGTCATATGAGTTTGCGATTTTCCACGTGATGCAAGTTCGATCAGACGAGGGGGGGTGCGGGTGGAGGGGCCGAAGGCTCTCCCGCACCCTACCATTCGCTGTGTGTGTGTGTGTGTGTGTATGTTTCGGTGATTCATTACTTTAAGTGAATTTTCATATTTACTACTTTCATCATTTCTCAGCTTGTATTTCCGAAGCTATTTGTGTCCGACCGTTATATATATATATATGAAATGTCTCAGGAAGACTTCCGCAACAACATATTTAAAAATAAATTAAATCGGAGGAGGGGCCTCTTTTATGCATAATTACCATACACTTCAAGACATTTCTAAAAGATGTCTAGAAGTTGTCTAAAAGATATTTAAATAGATTTAGTTGAAGATATCTTTATAGAATTTCTAAAAGATCTATAGACATCTAAAAGATGTCTTGAAAGATATCTGTAACATTTAGATCCCTAAAAGATATCTCTTTGGAAAAAGTGTAAGATATGATGTAAGATATCTCAAGACATTGCAAGATATCTTTTAGAAATCTAAAAGATATCTTTTTGTCTATTTGGGTTTTCAGAATCTGTTTCAAGTTTTATATATGCTTATTCTACATGTATAAAGTAACAATAAAAGAGATGACTATATTCATTGTTATTCAAAATACGTATTTATTGTAAATAAAATGATCGCTTTAATAACACGAATTTCTCACTTTTGTATCTCATCTTTTTGCCCTGCGGGTGATGCTATGTACAGAATGTGATGCTATATACAGAATGTTTCAGAAATATGTGACCAAATTCTAAGAGCATATTCTACTGTAAGGATGAAAAAGGATCATAGAAATGGGCCAAGCAATGCTTCTTTTCCAAAATATAAACACTTTTTATTTACAATATTTTTTGCTAAAAATATTTTATTGAAAAAATTATTGAAAATGATTTCTTTCCGCATTAATGCATGCCTCATATTGACGTCTCATGGATTATCGAAGACGAAAATTCCCGAAGTATCTCGTATTTTGTTGCACAAAACGATAATATGATTCCGGAGTACTTTCACAATAACAACAGGAGTCTTATAAACAAGACTCTTAAGATGTTCCTATAAATAAAAATCCAAGGGATTCAAATCTAGAGATCGTGCAGGTCAAGCAATCTTCCTCTTTTAATTTATCTATTGATATATTAATAATTATTGTTCAGAAACTCTCGAGCAATGCGATTGAAATGTACTGGATGTGCTCAGTAAAAAGTGTTTATAACTTGGGCAAAAGCGTTTCTGGACCCATGTTCATAGCCTTTTTCATCTTTATGACCTTTTCCATTTTCATAGTGAATAGAATATGCTCTTAAAGTTTGGCCTCTTCTTTCTGAGACTATTTTGAAAACTCTATATATTGTTGCGCTCACTCTCGCACTCGCGCTTGCACTCAGGTAAATGAAAACACTCGCGTAACGACTAAGAAGCTTTAATATTTACAGCACAACTCGTTCACGCTTTAAACAAGAATAATTCTCTATTTTAATAATTCTGAATTCTCGCGTCTGTCTTCGATGACAGCTTGCCAGAGACTCTCTCAGCTGTTCTGTTATCTTCGTATCGATTTTCTCGTCGTCAGGACAATCCTCGCTCAATTGTCAAAATCAGATGCCTGAGGCTCACGGACAACGGACGTCGCCACAAACCTTGTGGCTCCGATACAACAATATACAAGGTGTCCCCTTTCTTAAATGAGTTAAGCAAACATCTCGAAAGATATGAAAGATATTAAGAAACGTTTCAGACAAAAGTTATATGGTTTCAAAGAGGATATAAAATAACTATATCATTTTGTTTATAGATGGCGCCACTTTCAAGATATTCACTGATCATTACTTTTCTTAAATGGAAATTTCAATTTTTTATTATATCATCTTTTTCTACCAATTAATTCTAACAATTTATGTCTGAAACATTTTTTTATTTGTCTAATATTTTTTGAGATATTTAAGGAAAACTTGATAACTTTTTCAACATTTAACTTATGATACCTCGCTAACTATTTGTCGAAAGAAAAAATAGTAGTAGATTTTTATTTCTGTTTAGTCTCAAGAATATATTGTTACAATAATGTCGTAACTTTTGTTAACTTATCGATCTTTGGAAATTTCAAAATCATCGAATTAACAAAAGTCAGAGCACTATTGTAACAATATATTCTGTAACAAAATGATAGTTGTTTTATGTCCTCTTTGAAACCATATAACTGTTGTCTGAAACGTTTCTTAATATCTTCTATATTTTTCGAGATTTTTGCTTGGCTCATTTAAAATGGAACATTCTGTATAACATCATTTAAGAAGTTCATGTTTTCTAATTAATATGCCTGTGTAACCTTATTTGTGACGTGCGGTGTATTTACGATGGTTTTATTCAGTTTTAATTCGTAATGGCAAATAAAAAAATTTGCATAATTTATACAAGCTTAAATTAGGTCATGCTGGGGCGGGGATGACGCGAAATATCAATATGGTATTCGGCGATGATGTAAATGATCAGGGAACTAAGCTTTAATTTGAGAAGTTCAAGTTTGGTGATAAAAATCTCTTAAAAATTTGTCTCGTAGCCGTGCTCTATTGGTAATTGATGATTTGATTTTGAAAGATGGTCGAAGCAGATTCGCGCTTGACGGCTTAAGAAATCGAGACAATTAAGATGTAATAATGAAGAGATCTTAAATAGAGTTGTTACGTGTGATGAAAAATAAATTCTGTAAGATAATCGATGTCGTTTTGTGCAATAGATATATGCAAGTGAAATTCAAGAACATATACCGAAGCTAAATCTTTATCCGTGGATGATTTCGGTATCTGTTTTCTGATCAACAGAAAATGTAGCACATATGTTTTTAAAAAAAGGGAAACTCTGACAAATAATATCAGGAAATTGATATTATGCACAAGAAACTATAGACACGAAGTTTTATTGTTACACATAATGCTTATCTACGTATTGTATATGTATACGAAACAAATTGCGAAAAAACTTGCAGAATTCAAATGTGAAATTTTCCTTATCCTCTTTATTCTCTTGAATTTTCATTAATAGATTATCACTTATAGCTAAATATCTTGGTAGACTTTTAAAGGAAAAATTGTTCAGAGATAATGACGACAAAAAATAACATTTGATAAGTTTATTGTCTCTCCTTTTATAAGAAAAACATTGATGTGTTTATATCGCGTTGGGAAAAGCGTGTTAAAATGAATGGAAATCTTTTTATTAATGAAATCTCCTTTTATTAATGAAATATATGTTCTAAATTTATAAAATAAAAGTGTTCTAAATTTATAAAATAAAAGAAATAAGAGTTTAAATTCGAAATTCGGTTTTCCATTTATTTTGCAACAATCTAATAATTATGTTATCTTCATCGTTACTAATGAAAATGAATAACATTTTTGTATAATATGCATATCTAAAAATATGCATATCTAAAAAAGAATGTTAAATACGTCTTAAATAAGACACTACTAAAAATATATCTTACAGATTTCTTTAAAACATTACGAAAAGTCGTTTTAAAATGCGTAACAAATCTATAATAAATCTATAACAAGATATTTTTAGGTTAGAACTGTTTATATTACTGACTATGACATTTATGCGCGCGTTTACAAACATATATACATATGTTACACTCGCGCTGCTGTAACAAATATACAGGGTATATATTTAAAAGTTAACAAAATTAATAACTTATGTTTCGCAGACGACACAGCGCTACTGGCGGATCTGAAGAAGATCTGAGGAAGCTTATAGGAAGAGTAGAGAAAGAAAATAAAAGTTTAGGTTTGGAGCTAAATATCTCAAAAACCAAAATTATGATTGTTGATAGACCAAATAATAATAGATCGGAGATTAAAAGGATCGGCCATTTCAAAGTTGTCAGCGAATACGTATATCACTGATTAGCAATAAGGTCTCAATGAAAGGTGAAGTCCGCCGCAGATGTGAACTGGCTAAAGTAGCTATGAGGAAACTTACCAAGATCTGGAAGGATAAAGGTACATCAATTGCCCTTAAGAAACGGCTGGTGCACTGTCTTATGTTCCCTACTCTACCCTTGGCTACGCATTTGAATCTTGGACTAGAAGGCAAAGCAAGAGAAGGAGAATTGATGCGACCGAAATGTATTGTTAGAGAAGAATGCTCCGCATATCGTGGACCGAACAAATTCGTCTATACTACGTGATCTACATATATAGCAGAGTATGTCCATGAATCGGATGTTTAGATTCTTTGGACACGTTGTAAGGCGTGAAGAAGGTATAGAAAGGCTGATTATACAAAGAAAAGTAGAAGAAAGAAGATCCAGAGGCAGATCTCCAACGAGGTAGATCGATTAGGTAGCGCAAATAACAAATAAACCGTCCAAGACTTACAAGGAAGATTAGGGAACGCGGAAATTAAAAAAATTCTGAAACTTTGTGTGGAAGTAAAGTAATTCATCCGTAATGCAAAACTATCTTTTGTTTGTGTGGAAT